CTTCCTTCCGAGGAGTGGCTGATATGTTCTATAAAGCTCCTTTAATCCAGTAAATCAACTATTAAGGTGCTAACGAGTATTATATTTGCATTATTTATTTCCAGGAAACGATAATTTTCCAAACAGCAAATCTTCAAACTATTGAGTTTTTTGAGAACGTGTCCCACATATGCATAATTTGTTTTAACATTTTCTGGCCAAATGTGCCTTTCTCTCATAAAATGAAGATAATTTTTAAAGTGAAAAACTATAAAGCAGTACCCTATCAATTCAAATAACATAGAAGGTAAAAGGCAGTTTAAAGCACACAAAATTTCATCTTTCAGAGATGTCTCTGTGTCCAAAACGCTTTCATTTATGTATGATTGTGAGTGTGTGTTTCAAGGTGGAATTATACTCCGCTTACTGTTTTTAACCAGCTCTGGTCAGTTAACACTGTGTTATTCTTCATTCTAGGTCAAAGAAAAGGCAGATGTTCTTAACCCGGTAATCACTGCGGTATTTCTAGAGGTTAGTGGCAATTGTTTTTAAGTTTCTTAAAATGTAAACTTGTAGCAAGCAGTCTTAAAAACTGCTAAAGCATTATGTATTAATGAACTCTTCCTAAGTCTTTTGTCTCTAGCTTTTTAAAATTTTTCACCAGATTGGTAGATTAGCTATGTTGATGCAGTGGTGTGTATTTGATGCATACCCCTGTTCATTAATTACAAAGCTGCAGGGTAAATGGAGATGAAGAAGCAGTAAGCTGTTATTATTTTGTATTACCCTTTGGCATCTTAGTGGACAATTCTCAGTAATGAAACACCTTCCAGAGACCAGCTAATAAACTTGAAGGGCTGCAAATTATAAGAAGGTAAGCATTGTTTCCTAAAGAACTAAGATTTACACAGAAGGTACTGGGTAAAAACAACAAAACAGTTTATCATTCCCTTGGCAAGAAATCTTGCTTTGTTTTGCCCAGGAGGTACCTATGTTTACCTTTACCTTTGTCAGTTTATGTCTTAGTCCTCTAGTGCTGCTATAACAGAAATACCACAAGTGTACAGCTTTAACAAATAGGAATTTATACTTCTACAGTTTAGGAGGCTAAAAGTCCAAACTTAGAGTTTCAGCTTTAGGGGCTGGGTGAAGGCCTCTTGACCTAGGGCTTCAGCTCTGCCTCTTATTCTAGGCCCACTGGAGCTAGAGGCATCTCCTAACTCAGACAGTTGCTGGCTCCTGAGGCTAACAAACCCGGGGTCAGCAAGTAAAATGGCACAATCCCAAGATTGGTAAGCAACGTGTCAGGCTACTGGTTCAGGTCCAGGAACTAGAGATGAAGACTCAGCCAAATGAGGATACAGATATGCCAAGAAGCTAGAGACTGTTCCCAAAGCTCTTCCATATATACTGGAAGCAGGCCACATTCCGAAGGCATTTCTGCTTGCACTGATTAATGTCTCACAGCAGATTATACCGTATCCAGTCTTATAGGGAATAACTGTATCCAGCTGCCCAACCACTCACAATCATAGCCTAGCCAAGTTGACACACAACCTTAACTATCATGGTTTATTAGATTTAGGAAGTGGAAGATTTAAGTCCATGGAAAAAAGGGAGTATGGGGGAAACTCT